TCTCTCTGATTTATTTATGTATTTTTTTACGTTGTTTATGGTCATTAACAAGACATTAGCCTTGCTAGCTGCAGCTAATGGCTAATAATAACATGCTACCATTAATCAAGTACATATCCAACTCCGCCCACATCCAAGTCGGCCATTTTGATTAGGTCACCAATAGGAAGATCCCAGGCAAGAAAATCCTAATTGCTTCATGGCAATATAGACATTAATTTAAAAATAGTTTAAAAAAAATAGAATCTTGCAAACACATAATTAAACACATAATTAAACTCTATACATATTATGTTAAAATAGTGTATATTAAATCGGTTTGTACAATAAGTCCAAAAAAGTTTAACCAACAAATATTTATTTCTCACTATTATGAAGGCTGGAGGGTTAGGGTTAGGGTTATTAATGTGGGCCACCAGTCACGATAACATCAGTAACAGGTCAGTTTGAAATGAAAGACCCAATTCAGTTAAATTTTGGGGTCTTTGTTTCATATCTTTGTGGTATCGAAAATGGTATCGAGTATTGAGTATTTTCCTGAGTATCGGTTGAATATCGAGTTGAACATTTTTAGTACCTTAGTGCAGAGCCCCTCCCGGGGCCTCCGGGGGGCCTCGGCCTGCTTCAGCTGCTCCACCAGGGCCGCCAGCACCACGTTCTTCACCAGCCGGGGCCTGGATTGGGACTCATCCCTGCACTGGGGGCAGCTGTAGGCTGTAACCATAACCCTAACCCCAACCCTAGCCCGGGCCTCCTCGGCCGCCCAGTGCCGCCCTATGCAGCCCATGCAGTAGCTGTGTCCACAGCGGATGGTGGTCGGTTCCCGCAGCAGGTCCAGGCAGATCGGGCACACAAGGGGGTCCTGGTCCAGCTTCACTTTCTTCGCATCCATTTCCACCACCAGTCCAGTTGTTTTGAACCTTTAATTTTCCAAATGGCCGCCTCCTGCTCTTCCCCTAACCGGGATTTACGTCTTCAACCTGCAGATTTTCAAGCAAAGGCGGCAAAAAGAGACACTTTTTGTTCAGAAATCATAATAATGTGACTTAAACAAACAAACAAAATGTTAAAATGTATAAGCGGTAACCCCCTATAGTGACAACATAGTAAAAATACTACATCTATTTGCTGAATTAGCATTCAAATTGAATAACCTAATTATTATTCAAATAGCTCGAATTTCTAGAATGATCTTATTTGTTTGGAGGATCTTAGTCCAGACATACAAGTTACTCTAACAGACTTAATACATTTCCTTTTTGTTTTTTGTTCAGACATTGTCTCACTTTATATATTAAGTCAACACACTGGGAAGAACAACACGTGTTCGATGAAGACCGGGGTTTAAAGGGCTAAAAAGAGGGCTAAAAAGCTCCATTCCCCACCAGTTCGTCAAAGCGTGCCACAACTCTGCGCATGCGCGCCCGTCCCGTGACCCGCCGCGTTCGAAAATCCGCGCGAGCGACTTCACAACCCACGAGCTCGACGGTTGAAACTGACGGTTGAAACTAACGGTCGCAACGACGCTAAGTTACCGAGGGGAAGAAGCCAAAGCGGGACCAGTAATCCGGTACAAGACACAAAACGGGTCCACACCGGAGAGGACTTACCTCGGGCTCCGGGCTCCGCTTTCCGGGAGGCAGAAACTACTCTGACTTCCTCGTTTTTTCTGGGTAAATAACGGCTCGAGCTCTGAGCGCCGCCTGGTGGACGGAGGCTAGAAATTCAGGCTAAGAGCATTTAAGCTAACTGACCTTTTTAGTTTACTTTGTCAGGAAAGGGCTCATTGAGGAAACTTAATTCATCTGTTTATTTTAAAAAAATCTATTTTAGGTTCAAAGCTAGAAGAAGCTCTTTGAGGAAAACTTTATTAATCGGTTTATCTTTTTAAGCTATTTTAGGTTCAAATCTAGAAGAAGCTCGCTGAGGAAAACTTTATTAATCGGTTTGTCTTTTTAAACTATTTTAGGTTCAAATCTAGAAAAAGCTCGTTGAGGAAAACTTTATTCATCAGTTTATCTTTTTAAACTATTTTAGGTTCAAATCTAAAAGAAGCTCGTTGAGGAAAACTTAATTCATCAGTTTATTTAAAAAAATATATTTTAAGTTCTAATCTAGAAGCAGCTCGCTTAGGAAAACTTTATTCATCAGTTTATCTTTTTAAACTATTTTAGGTTCAAATCTAGAAGAAGCTCGCTTAGGAAAACTTTATTCATCATTTTTCTTTCTAACTATTTTAGGTTCAAATCTAGAAGAAGCTCGCTGAGGAAACTTAATTCATCCGTTTATTCTCCAACTATTTTATGTTCAAATCTAGAAGTATTTCAGTGAGGAAACTTAATTCATCCGTTTTTTTTGTTTTTGTTTTTTTAAATCTATTTTAGGTTAAAATCTAGAAGAAGCTTGTTGAAGAAAACTTTTTTTCGAGAGTTTATTTTCTTTTTTAAACTTTTTTAGGTTCAAATCTAGAAGAAGCTTGTTGAAGAAAACTTTTTTCGAGAGTTTATTTTCTTTTTAAAACTTTTTTAGGTTAAAATCTAGAAGAAGCTCATTGAGGAAACTTAATTAATCCATTTCTTTTTTTTAATCTATTTTAGGTTCAAATCTATGAGCAGCTCGCTGAGGTCCGGGTAGCACTCCCCGCTCAGCAGGATCTTGGCCCGCAGCTTGGGCCTGATGAGGTGGGGGGGGACGCCCATCCTCACGGCCTTCCTCGCCACGGGGCTGTTCATCATCATGGCGTCCTCCAGATGGTTGGTCTCCATGGGAACCTCCCCGTCCTGCGAGGCCCTGCGGGCGAACAGGTCGGCCACCAGCTCCTTCAGGTCGGAGTAGCCGTGGCCGGCCGTCTGCAGCCGGTCCTGGGCGCTCTGCAGCACCAGGTGAGCCGGCAGCTGCATCCTCAGGGCCTCCCGCACCACCAGGGAGTTCTCCGGGATCATCCCGGGGGCCGGGGGCCGGCTCCTGGGGGAAACGGGGGAAAAAACGGCTGTTAGACCATTGGACCGTTGTTAGGATTTGGCCATGAAAATACTAACTTTAGCATAGCATGCTATCACATGATGTATGTAGATTACTGATTGTTTTTATTCCTTTTATAACTATATTTTGTGTTTAAGTCTCTGGTTGTGTCCACAGACTCTCTTTTCTCTCTTTTTCTCTCTCTGTTGCATGTATATCTATGATTACTGATTGTTTTATTTTCTTTTAGGTGACCTTTAGGTCAACACAAAAACACACCATTTGGTACCACATTCCTGTCATCTGCATGAATTAGGACC